CTTGAACCTTAGTCAGTGTTGGGGTAAATTCGACATTGATGTTTTCAGTTTGCAGGAGATTTGCTCGACTGCTTATACTGATTATTTGCATGCATGATTGTGTCGCTAAACCATCAATTAGACTGACAAGGTTTTGAGATATTTATTGAATGAGCAACTGATAGAGAAACATACTGTAATCATCTGTGATGGATAAAGATACCAAGAAAACAACACCATTTAATGGTAATTATAAGTCAATTTGTTGACCGATTTCGTTAATAGTTTTATTAATTTTATCAGTCATATTACGTGATTGTCAAGTTATGACAATGCTTTATGACGATATCCTGAAACTATTAAATTTAACTAGTTATAGTGTTGACTGAGGATTAGTCAGTGGAAAAATAGGTATTGTTGCTTTAGGTGATTCGAAATCATCAGAAACTTATAACGTTAAAGAATCCGAGACGCCTAATTTAATTATAAATTTCAATTCAGAAATATTCGTTTAGTGTTAATTCTAGCAGGCTACGGAGTTTTGATTTTAAACGTTTGTTTAGCCAACAACTACCTGATGATTTAGTTATTTTACTAGTGCAGTTGACAGTACCTAAATTTTTAATCTTATTATCTAAACTATGTTCGCATTTTAGGCTGCTAATATGATAAACCAATCCATAAACCCAAATACGATTAGCAACAACGACTATGATGGGTTTATTGATAAATGTTAAAGGCGATTCAGATGATTTCTAAATTTAGAAGACATGGAGATATAGTGTAACGTATGTATGGGCCAGGTTAACATGCAGGTTGTTGACGTATATGACGATTTAAAAATAATGAACATGACCAGAAAATAGTTTTAAAGTTTAGACTGCTTGTGAAACTTCAGGCAGGAATATGATGCGTGATAAACATTCCATAAGGAGTTACTGCATTTAGCCTAGGGACACTTACAAATACATAGCAAAAGGGACCGGAAAACATATACATGTTAAGTAAAAAAAAATCATTAAGTAAAATAGTTGAACTCGCCTGGGTTATTTTTGAAAATTAGATTATTCAGTGGACGACATATATAACGCTATTCGTGAGTAGTATTGATCCAAAAGCATCCAGAATAAAACATGCAGTATGGCAATTAATTCCAGGGTGCTTGATGCTGTTGAGGTTTTTGACACTCGCTCGGATCAGAACAATCGAATGAATCCAGATAATTGTATGGTTGTCATTGAACGAACCATCTAAAATGAACTTATGATTGCAGAAAACTTATAGCTGAAACTCACCGTATGTTTTTGGAGAAGTGTCATCCTCGTTGTTTGGCAATGGAACTCGAGAATATGAAATTAGGCAGGCAGTGGTCAGAAGAAAAGATATTACAGGATAGTGCATAGTTTAAAACAGGATGAGGTGTTAAGTGAAGGAACACTGAGAATTAGATCCAGATAACTATTTAGTCCTTGATCGCATTGTTAGTCAATGTATATTTACGCTATTTACAGGTCATATTTGCTAGAGCTTGATGTTTAAACAAGACTATGTCGCTGAAGCATGTAAATGCTATTAAAGCTTGTTAACAAACCATCAAAGCTAATTAGTTAAGATAGACGACCAGTTTTTATTATCGATTGAGCTAGTTTGTCATGAGGACTAATCAATATAACATTACGATAATGCATGTGAGCATTAATCAGAGGACTATTAGAATACAGGGTTAACATAAATATAAAATCGATCGAGAAAGTTGAAGTGGAACTAAGGATTAATAATAATAGGTTGCGTTTCTTTAGTTGGGCTCACCAATGTAGAATTACGGTCTACTATGATATTAGTACTGCTCTAATAATAGACCTAATCCTAAATTTGTAGATTTGTCATGATATAACTGCCTAATCTATAAGATCTTACGTGGAAGTCACACCATCGACTACACCAACTCACTGTATCGTATCAATTACCAATACATGATGTAGAACAAGGTTAGGTTAGAGAAGGAACAATATATTTAATATGAATAGAAGATATAACGTAACATTCAGATGGACCACGCCTGCATGGCCGATCCATGCCATCCGGTCAACTCCAGTCCATTCAATTTATTGTTCGCGCCTTCTCCATTGTTAGGTATTTCTCCGCGTTAAATATTGAATATCTATTTCCTGAGTAGTCTCGTGTTCACAGCTTTGTGGATTGTGTGTGGCTATTGTCCAATGCCATTACAAATATGTGGTCGATGCAGCCACAAACAACTCTGAAGCCAGCCTGATTTTATCGTGTTTGCAGTTCACGAGTCTTTGTTAACCGCCCGATAAGTATTGAAGCTAGCATTTTAGATGCCATATTAGTCAAACTAATCCCTTTATGTTTATCACAAGATGATTTTGACCCCTTCTCATATATTGGGACAATCAGTGATTGTGACCAATCAGATGTGATTACGTCCAACTCCCAGATTTCAGTTAATAGTGCTTGTTCTGCCCTCGCACTTAGTGCTATACCTACACCTGCCGGTCCACAAAAACTAACCTTCAGGTGGCCAGATACACGGAGGATGTATGTTGTCAGCTCTCCGTTTTGGCGAGGTGAGGCCAACAACATGAGCCACTAAACCAAGGTAGCAGGTAATTATAAAAGGACCAGGATATCAAATACAACCGCCACATATATGGACAGCAATAAATAAAAGTTATATATTCTTCCGAGAAAAGAATATTTGAAGGCACTTACTCTTGTAGGATAGGAATGGAATCAAGACAGAAAATGTATACTAGCTGTCGAAGTAGTAAAATATCCAAAAGCGAGGAAGTGCTAGATCGAAGAGCATTATCAACCAAAATGGTTAGAAGTGACCGACGATTTTCCGCTGATCTACAAGAATATAAAAAGACAGGGGTGACTATCTAACCAACATAACCTATCAGGGTGTGATGCAGCTTACGTACATGTGTTGATAAGATTTCACAACAGTATTAACCAACTTACAAAATTTACTTGGCAATCTGGTGGTCCTATAGAGAGCGACCGAATAATTGCAGACTACTCATATCCTTTATTATTTGTGCGCTTTAATACCTATATGTAACTTACTAATAGTATTTGATCATAGACGCCCTCGAAGTATTGGTCGCGTATATTGGGACAATAGAGCGAGCAATACTCGAGTTAGACGTAGCGTACTAGATAGAAATGACAAACTGGTTGATGAGGTAGTGAATCTTCACCAATCGATGTGATTGGGACATGTATTACGTATGCCCAACCACCTTCTACCTCGACGCGCGTTGTTTCCTGGTGTAGGGGTAATTTGAAGGAAAGCTAGGGGTAACCAATCCAAAATGTGGTACAAGTTTATGAAGTCATTCACTGTTGGGCTGAGTCGTGTTGGTAGGTGGGTAGTTCGAGGTTAGCACAATCACCGTAACCAATGGTTGGAGGTGTCGAGTGACATGGCTTCAAATTGGTTACAATGGTGGTGCAGACACTTACTTCAGGTTTAGTATTGAGTTTGGCAAACGGTTACGGGAGGTGACGATTAAATGGTTAGTCATTATATCTATCTAAGCAAATAATCAACAAAAGACTGAGTCCATCTATCTTATTGACTTAATAGAGAATTCCACTTTTCCCTAAGCCGTCTGTCTCATAATACACAACACATCGGCCAGTCATCTCCAAGCAACTTTATCCTGGGCTCACCTTTCTAGTTGTTACCAAGTGGTACTTAAATTCATAGTGCCTGCTTCCGATCCCCGGGACTATGTGTTCTTTTGTCACCCTCTTTCCTTTCAGCCTTCAGTATTTCGGGTTAGGATTTGCTATTTGTTACAGCTTGATGGTTTGTGTAAAATTTGTCTTATCCACATCTAAAGTCTTTCCCTGATTTCCTCTTCAGCTGGCATCTGGTCCGTTTTCTGCCACAGTAGGTTATAGCTGGTGGCGTCTGGTCAATGGATTTAAAGTATCTTACGCAGATAGCTGTTTATAAATAACTGTACTTCTTTGATAATGATAGTTGTAGTAGTCCTGCAAGTTTCAGCTCCAATATCTGGAAATGTTTTGACGTTTGTGCTGAAAATTCCGACTTTGATTTTGACTGATAGTTGTTTTGAGTTCCAGATACCCTCCAATTGTAATAATGTAACCCTAGTCAGTCTATTCAAGAGTTCTTCGAAGTGTTTTACCCACCTGTTGTTCTCCTTTTGATCCTTATTGATTGGTTCTCCTTTTTTATCGCTGACTAGTTGTTCTTGTGCACCATATTTTACTACTAGTCCCCTGATTATATTATATGTTTCTTCCGAAATCCCTTTGCTTGCAGCTTTTCTACAGTATTTGCCAGGTCTGCATATTTCCACTTTCCAGCTGTGATGCTCTTCATTCATTTGTTTGCTTTTGCGTATTTGACGTGTGTCTTTCTCTGCCCTTGTTTGGATAGTGTTGACTGCAATCTTCTTGTTTTTCCTTTCTTCAGTCGTGCCTAGAACGTTTACAGAGACCCATTATTTGTGCTGGCTAACTGATTGATGCTCTATAGGTAGCGACACTCGGCATTTTTAAGTTCATGTTTTTGTAATCCCATTCCAGTTGCTCTCTATAGTCGTCCCTTCTAATTGATCTTGTAGGGCTTGGAAGTTGATGCAGTGATCTATGTTGAACTCATCTCGTAGGAACTCTGTATTGAACTTTTGTAATTGCGCCTATCCAGTTGTCCGACTTTTATGTAGCCTGAGTAATATCGTGTATTTCAATGACTGGATGTGGTTTCTTGACGTTTTTGTCATTCTAGAATTCGGATCTCAGTACGAGTGATGACTTCATATACATATCGGAAAATTTCGTCATTGTGGTAAAACGATCCGTGATTAACTTCAATCATCGTTTTTCTTTATTCCTTATTAAGCGGAATTGTAAACCTTACTTTACTTTTTACTTATAGGGGGACTATTTCAACCATGTCAAATATTTTAAGAGGTCTTGATATATCCACACTTACCCATCAATCGTTGAAAGACATGGGCAATCAACTGTTCAACTCATGTCAATATAACGAAGCAGTTCAATGCTATACACATGCTATCACCCAACAACCAAATATTTCTTCGTATTATTCAAACAGAGCGTTGTGTTATATTCAAATGCAAGATTATTCAAAAGTTTTATCTGATTGCAGGTTTGTATAAACTTACAATAACTTGTTGAAATTGCCTTTCAATTATGACAAATTTATTTCAGCGAATTTTAGTATTATTAGTACTTTGTGGCGACATTAGTCTGCGTGTATATCTGGGTGAATTGGTTAATAAATGATGATTTGCTTTTATAATCTGTTGAAAGACATTGCTAGCGTACTAATAATCATTGAATTACTAGAATATTAGCTTTAAAAAGTGAGATAACGGCCCTAGTTTTGAGACTAACAATTTCATCTTTTTAAATCATATGTGATCAGTAAATTACATAAACGTGATTTATATTGTTTCAATACATTGATAATAGCGAAATTGTGGAAGGTTAACTAAAACGTTTACGAAGACGCATGTATTTAATCATTCTAATGATTTTATAGTTACAAGGTCAGAAAGCTTCGAGTTAACATTATAAGGCATACAGTTCAACAAAAAGTATTTATTACTCAATACTATCAGTCTCGACTTATGGTTAGAGTTTTACCGTCGGATTAATTAAAACGTTATGTCTCATGTTGATTAAACTAATCGTAGTCTTATCTCATAAAGTGTGGTACTATATTGTTTTTGTTTCTTTGAATGTAGTCGCTTTGGTACTGAACTAGAGAATGCTATGATATAGGAATCCCTGTGTATACTGTCTTGGATGTTTCAATGGGAGTCACGTGTTTTAGTGTGAAGTAAATAGATGGATGAATAAACGTATGTTCAATCTTATCAACCACAGCCTCAGAGTAATATTTCATTTAAAGGGAGTATTTTTTCTAGAATCAATAACTGATATCTCAATCTCCCCACTAAAAACACTGGGTCGTGATTAGAACTATAAAATTCTATCAGTTGTATATATAATAATAAGACGTTTTTGGAAAACAAACGCGAGATTAATAAAGGATAGGTTGTTGTTCGTACTACTTGGAGGAATTCGTGTAACATACGACTTTGTTTTGGGATACTAATAATTTTTGGGTGTGGGTGGTAAATTTATTAATAAACTAACTGACACAAATAATTCCTATTTTAATCCTTAATTAACAGATGTTTTCAAATTCAACTATTTTTGACATGCACTTAGATATTACTTCTTTTGCCACGATACTCAAAAATTATAAATTGGACTGATTAACGTTAATGGTTAGGTCCCAGCTACCAGCGTCTAGTCTTTTGCTTGCTGTCGCACTTGGACTTCGTTTCAGATATTAATTTCATATGAAGTTAAAATAACTAGAATTGGAACCAAAGTGTTTGCTTTCAGCCAAATATTATAATGGGACTACTGATCATTTTATTTTGCTTGAAACGTTTTACTTGTCCATGAATAATTCACATAACCACTTTATGAATCTGAATCTTACTGTAATTTTTATGTATGTAATCCTTTGTCTAGACAGCCTTTAAAACCAGTGTCAGACATTTGTATCATGAATATTTCCTACAAAAGTAAGTCAAAATCGATAACTTGTATTAGGCAATGAACCATACATTTTATGCAACATGCATGGATTTCATTTGCAAGTCTCATAATGAATTCAACTCAATAGATTCGTAGCTCTTAGATCTTCTGATTTTAGGAATTATTCACAGGGAGACTGAATAAGCCTCTTATTGGTAATCTGGTCAAGCATGGGGTTGTTTCAAACCCCTAAAATAATTCGTTTTCGCGATGCGGATAATGCCAACAGTATTTAAAAAGCATGTTTCCTATCATTGAGTTGTATTCCATTTCAACAGCCGCTAGGTTTTGCATATAGACTTCAGTTTCTTTATTCTACCACCACTTTTTTCTTAGAAACAACGAAAATTGGCAACTGTGGTAAGATGAAAGTACCTGATGTGAATGAATGATTCGTGGTCTGAGCAAGACCAAGTACATAATTTAGTGAGAGAAGTATTCGATCGCCTCAAAGGTCCGTACATCGTGTAGTAAGACTCAGGATGTAGAGTGTTCGCTATATAAGCCTAAATGTCCTACTCTATCGGTTGCTTGGTGGGATTCTGCTCCACATAGCTGAATTTCTAGTGCCGAAAACATTTTGGAGCAACTTTATATGGCTTATCTCACTTATATACACCCGTTAACCCTCATGGGGGAGCGTAGGACGTTCACCAGCATTCTCCATCCAACTTCGTCCTAGGTAATACTTTCCAGTTGTTTCCACTTACTATTCATCCTTTCCATGTCTGCTTCCAATTCCGACGCAGTGTGTTCTTCGGCCTTCTTTTCCGTTTCCCTTCAGGATTTCAAGTTATCGCTTGCCTCGTGATGAAGTTTGGTGATTTCCGCAGTGTATGTCACAACATTTTGTCACCGATAGCATTTTGCAAAACAACTCTGAAGTAAATACTTGGTGTTGATGGATATCTTATCCCTGGAAAAGGACTTTTCAACTTCAAGTACTCACACGACATTGTTTTACTGTGTGGTGATGTACAACCCACTCATACTACTTTTAATCAGTTCCAGTTAGTTTGTATGTATGGCATGTACTTTTCTAACTTTGAAATGCAACGTACTCCAAAGGCCACAGAACCATGTTATGGACTTACCTTTTGAAGTGAGCCTATGGAAATAGTTGAAATGTCAGTGTTTTTGGGCCTTGTGTATCCTGTTGGTGACGTGACAGATGAGATCAGTCTATACTTAGTAAAAGCCAGAGCTCTCTATCACAATTCCGGACATCTTTGGCGCCGTCATTATGTTATTCTGTCTGTGAAAATCGGCTTTACAACATCAGTAAGAAGTTTTGCTTTGTGCTCGTAAAACTTGGTCCCTCTGAACCGAAGGTGTTCGGTTATCAGTGCTTCGAAGAAGTGCAACTGGTGCACTAGATTAGTATTAGTAAGGTGAGATATCATGTATCCGAGATCAGTGATGATGATTCACTTCGTGCCTTGCCTGTAAACTGGCATGCCTCGTGTAACAAACTGTTATTTTAGAATAAACTATTATTATTATTTCGTATCACCATCCTGGAACACCAAGTTCGATTAATTGGATGTGGTTTCCTAATGTCATTTTAGAAGCTTACACACCTCGTCTTATCTACCGACACTCAGACTAGGTGCAAAAAAGGGAAGTTAAGTAACGACGTGGGGACGTAGTATGAAAAATAGCCGTATAGGATCAGCAGCTAGTGATCCATCATAACTACTCGATAGGGGTCTCGTAGACCGTAAAGTTCAGTAGCTTGAGATATTATCAGAAGCCAGTATCAATCCTGCTGTAGTTTTCTTTTACATTCTCCATAAGAACAAAATAAACCTTCTCTTTATGTTTGTGTTTGTAATTGGACCATTTTTTTATTAATTACTATCTTCTCCCATTTATTTATTAACTATTCGACCCTTTTTCACACAATATTATCATTTCATTTATGTGATGTGCTTCTGGTGCTCTGTCAAACTAGGATTTATATGTGTTATAAATAAACCAAATGTTGTCACTTTGTGGTTTTATGCCCCAGCTGTTTGATTTATAATAAACCTTCAAGTGATACATATTGCTCAGTTAACTCACTAAGTTCACACGTAGATTCCACTAAGTTCTGAAAATATCTTTTAGTTGATTAGGCCATTCTAGTGAGATTCTGGATGACCCAATTCTAGACAAACAAAGAAGCAGAATTTATTTATTTGTAACCCATCAGTCTTATTTGTTTGAGCTAATCTATGTCAGACCCTGGTAACCTTATAGTTTCTGACAATTTATTTGTAACGTGGTAAATCGAAAAAATCTTATCTTGACTTAATGTTCGCCGTTATTAGGTCAGAAACGATGAGACAAATTTAAGATTTGGCAATACCTATTCCCAACCATTCTAGTACACGCTACCTGAGAATGTAAAATATCTTATCACTCAGTGTTGAAAATTATTAGACATCGTTTTTCCGTAATGTACTTGTTGTACCCTACAATCACTTCATACGCCCAGATGACTCTGAGCAGCCAATACACACTAAGGACGAGGAAGACTGACACTATATGCCTAGAAGTTAACCCAATACTAATTACCCACGAACGAAGGGGAAGAACTTAAGTCCAATGTTCACCTGTTTACGTTCGTCATTATATTTCAGACATTCGTTTATATACATACAAAACCGGACCTCGCAGCAGACCAATTAGTTAACAGTGTTATCACGAAGCAACATTAATGATGGGGAAAGGGAATACTGGGTACACAGTTAATCGGTACTAGGTTTTTAGTGAAGAATGCTATAAGATATGGCTGCCCAGTCTAATTTTCTTTTATTCGAGTATTTACTAAGCAAGGGCATTCTAACATGTTAATCAAAATAAGTGTGAACAATGTATGAGTGGATAAACTGCTGATAAACGGAGGTGGTCCAGAAAAGTGCTGAGAGTATGGCATTATGTGTAGCTATAAAATATAGTGTTGAAAACCGTATTATGATACACAATCGGCTATCTCTTTGTTTTGTCGAAGTTATTTGAGCCTTTTTATTCATTTATTTATTTTTATATATTTTATAGGGTCTTGAGTAGGCTTCGTATTTTAGTGAATTACGTCACGATATAATTATTGTCACGGAGACATGGTTCATCGTAGATAAAGACTGCTCTCCAATAATTTCAGTATATACCAATCTTAAACGTGATAATCTCATGGATCGCAAGGGAGAGGGAATAATATTATATGGTTGAGATCACTTTCTGTACAATCGATTACATCAGAGGGACAAGACAGTGGTACGTGTGAGGTAGCTTGTTGTACAAGTCTACCTAGACACGGGTTAGTGACTATATAAATAATATTCCATAGTCCCAATTGTCTTGCTGACGACTTTGCCATATGTCATATCTATTCTTGAAGTAAGACTGGTTGTTGTCTCGTCATTCGGTACTTTAACGTGCCACATATTAACTGGATAGAGCTGTGAACTTCAGATGGATATTTTGATAGCAATATACTGTCAACCCTTATTCAGTGTGCACATATATAATGTGTCGCGGAACCAGCACATATATACTTGGAACATGGTCCGTCATTGCTGAGCCTTGTCTTCACACACCACTGTAATGATGCCACCGACATCCAGTACCTCCCCCAACATCCAACAGTGATCACGTTGTGCTGCACTTTAGACTTCGGATACATAATATACGGTGTGTATTTGCTCCACCCCATTTCAATGTCCGGCGAGCTAACATTTCTGCAAGCAGAGACTGTTCTGTTTCAAAAGACTGATCGGCCAATGCACATGTTTCAATCCGACATGTGATGAGTTTAAACCCACATCACCGTTCATCCCATGGTCAACACGCAGGCTATCACATTGCCATCCATGGATCGATAAAAAGGCCCATAGCCGCTGAGGAGTAGGAAACACTTCTGGGACTTATTCTTGTCAAGAGGTCACGAATCAATTAATTTTGAATATTGAAACATCTGGAGTATTTGTGAAAAGGCTGTAGCTGGATGCAGCACCGCTTACGGAAGACGACTGGTATATGATAGCCGTAGATACCCAAAACGATTGTTTTCGTACAGTGAACGAAGAACAAAACGTAGTGATGGCACACCTACATTACTGTTGCGCAAAATTCAGATTTACGATTTTATCAAGCCATTTCATCGAAGTATGCTCAGTGAATATTGCTAACGATACATTTCATAATCACACCATTGAGATCTCGACTACGGGACCTGTACATATGGCTGAGGAAGCTGTTAACCTCAGATGCTGTAGGATATCTGACCCTGATGCATTACATGCACGACTTCATTTATCTGTCTCGAAGAGTAATTCACAGCCACTTACGATGCTGCTCAACATATCCCTTTCCCGCACTCCACAACCTAGAGATCGGAAAGCCGTCATAGTTGGTCATATATATTTAAACATGAATAGAGACAGATCGTGTCCGACTACTGACTTGTCAGTTTAATCAACATAGTAGTTAAGTTTCTTCAAAAGATAATCCGGGTTAAGTTACCAAGCCATGTAGAATCATACAGTCTGTTAACTCCTGAACAACATCCATGCTTAACGAACCTAATTATTTTGAGAAGGGACTGAGCAGCAGCCCTAGGTAAAGGTTTGTCTGTCAATGTGATATTCACAGACTATAGCAAATCATTTAGTAAGCTTTCTCACGTTGATATGCAGGAGCTCTCGAATATCGGAGTAACAGGTGCTGTACAGGAATGGATAAGAAACTTCTTCTGTTGCCGCAAACAGAGAGCGACGGTTAAGGGGACGCCGTCCGAAAGGAAGCCCGTCAAAAGTGGTGTGCCTCAAGACACCATTTAGGTCCCCTACTTTTCCTTCTCTACGTAAATGTATTGCCGCTATTGTTAAAAACATCGACATTATTGTTTGAGGATGATGTCAAAATCTGGAGATCAATATGAAGTGAGGCTGACATCTTGATTCTTTAGCTGATCTAGACAAGTCAGTTAGATAAGCTCGATTTGGGGGCTTAGAAGTTAGTTCTAGATAGAGTATGCTCATGCACATTGGATGCGGTAACATTTACCAACATACTATTGACGGTGAATCTTTTCCATGCGTGCAGAGACAAGGACTTAGAGAGAATAGAAAATGCTCACTTGAAGAGAATTACGTATTGCAATGCAGCAGTTGCCCAAGCGTTATGATCACTCTGCCAGGAATTCAATGCTTTGACGAGATGTTTCGAATTTTATATCCCATTTATGTAGGAACACAACTAGAGTACTGTGTCTAAGCAGTCAGTCCATGTCTTGTCAAGAATACCAACCCATCTAAGCGTGTTGAAAAGGCGGGAACATACCTAATGAAGGGTCTTTCCAAATTTTCGTACGATGAGCGATAAAATCGTCTGAAAAATTTTCCATAGTCGTATTTTGAAGTGCTATGTGACTATATATCAACATCTCAAATCTTTAATAATGGATCGGGTGTTATTATGTCATGTATTTTTCTCCCTCTAGAACTAATAATCTCAAGAGCCATAGCACGAGGGTTCGAAACGGCGATCTAGTAAACTCAGAATGGGGTTCCCTTTTTCTCGTTTAGCATCCAATGACAACTCAATCAAGTGGTATTAGCATCACCAGTGAAAATCTTTAAGATGAATCTTGACCTTCATTGAAAAACAAACTTCAAGGACTAACACAGTTCTATAAACTTTCTGACTTTATAATTTATGACTAACCTTGGCGGGACTTTGGAGATGGCGGTGCTATTAGAAACTTCTCTTGGCCAACTTGTGATTGATCTGTATTGTGATGAAAAGCCGCGAACATGTACAAACTTTATCAAACTCTGCAAACTGAAGCACTTCAACTTTTGTCTCTTTCACTGTGTACAGAAAAATTTGGTTGCTCAGTCTGGGGATCCTAGCGGAACAGGTCATGGTGGTTGGTCTTTTTTCAAGTACTTGTATGGTGACCAGGCAAGTTATTTTGATGCTGAGAAAAAACCAAAAATATCGCATACACGAAAAGGGCTGGTTTCCATGGTGGACAATGGATCTGGACAGCATGGTTCTCAATTCTTCATAACTTTGGGAGATGATCTTAGTTACCTGGATGACACGCATACAGTTTTCGGCTATGTACGTTTGTGTTGAAACTGTCAGAACCTTAATCTGCAGATTGCTGAGGGAATGGACTTCGTTGAAAGGATAAATGAGGTGTACTGTGATAAAAATGGTCGGCCGTTCCGAAATGTCAGGATACATCATACAATTGTTCTTGATGACCCATTTGATTCACCGAAAATGATTCGTTATCCTGACTCTCCACCCTCAATAAACGTCTCTACAGTAAGCAGAATTATGCAGGTCATTTTTCGGTCACTTATAGTTATTAATACTTCACTTTTTTCGACGAAAAGTAACAGGTACATGGACCCCCTTACAACTATTTCAATTCAAATAGAATATTAGTAATAAGTGTAATACACTATCCAGCTTGTTGATATGTTCATGTCCTCCGAGTGTTTCTCCGTTTCTAGGCTGATTGTGGTGTTCAAATTGAGTATGCTCATTCAAATGACGATTTGACACATGTGTAGTGTGCATTTCGTGTCTTGTCACCAATTAGTTTCTATCGATGACGTGGTTTAAACTGGTAGGGTTGTGTGCCTTTTTGGTGATTGTTCATAACTTTCAATAGTATCATGAAATTTGATTGAAGTTAATAATGTACTCTATAAAGAACAGATTTTAATAGGAACGTTCTATTTAGTAAACACCAGTTATTTTCATGTACATACGATTTTAATATATCGCAATTACCACCCAAGTGTCGACTAGTTTTATTTGTGGTTTCTACAGCTTAACATAATCTTAGGTTGAATAAATGAGTAACCATTTGCATTTGGATTTGTGTATCATTAAAAACCTAATGTTAGGATTTTGCATGTACCACATGTCATTTCAATTCACACCAATCCGATAAATTTTATTCGTCAACCGGTAGCGTGATCACCTATTAAATCCTGTTTTCCGTACTAAATAAGCTGTATCTTTCGTAAACCACTTTTAGCTTAAGAACTGCATACTCATTTACTGTTTTACAACTGACATTCAAAACTGTGTGCAAGACCATGTAATTTCAGTCATATAGCTTGTTATTTAGTGTCACTATATCTTTCAGCGCGTTACTGATACTCGGCTTTCTTAGGATTATATATATATATATAAGCTGTTTCATGAATAATTCCGTTTATTGATCTTGATTCTTTCAGTTTGCTTATGGTATTTAGTTCTGTATCTTCTCATTAATAGTTTGACACTAGATTAGAAGAGGATGAAGAACTAGATGATACGGAAGGACTTTCACCTACACAAGTGGAGGAACTGAAGATAGAGCAAGAAGTTAGAACTCATACTCAGCTTCTTACATTGATAGGCGATTTACCAGATGCTAATGTTAAACCTCCAAATAATGTACTTTTTGTGTGTAAACTAAATCCGGTAACCACAAGCGAGGATTTGGAGATTATCTTCAGTCGGTTTGGTGAAATCAAATCATGTGAAGTAATTAGAGATAAACGTACTGGTGCTTCTCTTCAGTATGCTTTCATAGAATATGAGAAAGAAGCTGATTGTGAAGATGCCTATTTCAAAATGGACAAAGTCGTTATTGATGATAGACGTATCCATGTGGATTTCAGTCAGTCGGTTGCTCGTGAATGGCAGTCTTACGGAAAAGATAAGCTTGCACGTGTCCAACCTTCTTCTGAGTCAAAAAAATCACGAGACATAAAACAAGCTTGTTTACCTAGATCACCAGAACGAAATAGTAGGAGAAATTACCCCCAGCATTCTCATAGCCATGAAAATAAGAAAAAGAAATATAGTCCTATAAGACGCAGATCTCCATCTGTATTAGGTGAGGAATATGATTTGGTAATTTCAGATGAGTCTGATTCCTCATCATTATCGGTGAATCCCCGGGGGAAATCCAAATGGAAAGATCATTTAGGGCCAAGCAAGTCATTCAGAAAGCACCACAAAAAACACAAAGAGAGAAAAAGCAAACATAAGAAACACCATTCACGATACTAACCATTGCAACAAATTTGGGTATTTGTTATTGTATATTATACTTTGTGATGCCCATATTTTGTAAACTACGAACTAATCATTTTTTGTAAACCTTGACTTTTATTGTTATAATTGTTGAAATGTAATTAATCGCAAGATCGCCACCTAATTACTTAGATCAAACCGTTATAAACATTGAGTAAAACAGTTATATGATCAATCAGTTGCATGCGTCTTTGTTTGATAAACCGTGTTTATTTGTATTTTCCATAATTATTATCACGTCTAAAAAGTTTACAGGGGCGAATTGAACGTACTGTTCTCTAATTTTTGGACGTTTCCTGGTAGTGAGACACAAGATGCCCATTGCCCCTTATTTGAAACTCGTCAGATGTGTGCACCTGTGATTTTACATTTAAGTTCTTAATGAGATAATGATCCATTACTTTAAACGTCGGGTTTCTGATTCATAAAAGCCGCCACTTGTTTAGTAAGACTAATGTGTGTGCATTACTCTTAGTCAGAGAATCCGTATTTCATCACAATATTTTGCGGGAATTTTAAGTCCAAGCTGGTGCTTTTTCACTAAGCGTATTCACTGGCCGATTTGACATAGGTTACGTATGTTGAAGGCTCTAATGTGTAGTTTGTAGCGAGGTTTCAGTAGACCTGGGACAGTTCAACTGGCGTTCAGCCACACTTCGATTTCCCACGATCTCCAGTCGACCTGAATGGCAAGTTAACGTAAGTCCTCCAACTCTTTACGAAGTTGAGAAAGCTATAGGAAATCTGAAGCGAGGGAGAGCAGTAGGCCCTGACAGGTTTACCCCTGAGATTTTTAAGGATGGCGGTCCAGTATTAGCAGTGAGATTGACTGAGGTCTTAGGTAGAATCTGGGGACTGAACGTAATCTCATCTGACTGGTCTACCAACCGAAGGCCGAGTTTACTGTGCATCAGTTTGTTCCGTCCTACTTCGTGGCTGTGAAATATGGCCGGTAAGAGCAGAGGATGTCCACAGGTTACCAATATCCGATCATAGGTGTCTTCGGAGCATTGCTCGTGTATCCTGGGACCACCGAGTAAGTAATGCAGTTGTTAGGAAACGGGTACTAAGTGAGGATGGCAAATCAATAGATGAAGTAGTGGGACTTCATCAGTTGAGGTAGCTGGAACATAAGCTACGTATGCCCAACCACCGACTACCCCGATGTGCGATGTTTCATGGTGTAGAAGTATGATGAAAGCTAGGGGCGGCCAGACCAAAACATGGCACAAATGCATGAGGTCACTGGCAAGTGGACTGAGCCATGTTGGTAGGTGTAGACTACCTGATTGGGATCCTCGAGATGATAGCAACCGATGGTTAGAGACCTTGGAGGACATGACTCCAAATCGTTTGCAATAGTGTAGGTGCATCCACTCTTTGTGTTCTTCCAAATTCTAATCTGAATTTTTCATGTCCCTTTTTTCTCTTTCCAAATTTATTTCACTGGATTATACTCATTGAATATCATCTTCAAATCTTAATGTTTATGACTGCTGCTTATACTTTTACTACTTCTACCACTACGGGATTTTAATCGACAACTGCATCTCTGTGCTAATGTGGTATGGCAACCTGAACTGGTGTACGTACGAAGTTATACGTTTTTACTGACTGACAGGGACAGTTTTGCGCATTAGAATTCTGGCTGTGGCGACACTTGAGGAGAAAGAGGAAAAAGTTTAGAGTTGATAGTCGAGGTACGAGGGGTAATAGGAATCAAAGAGGGAAATTGATTATGAATGCAGTGATCTTGAGTGCTGTTAGAGGTATGAGAGTAGTTATCACTTCCCGATTGCCCACACCGCGGAAGGGTTCTTCTAGAGGCACCTGTAAAGGGAATTGGATTAAAGGTGGCCTTAGTGATCTGAGTGCGTGACCGCAGTGCCCAAGGGAAAACTTCTTGGTGTCGGTCAAACACGACCTCTTTGTAACTATTGTCATAGCTACGTACTTGTTAGGACAAACACGGAAGACGGATTCCCGTGGGATAAGGCTTACTTACTCACGCCTGTTACTCCCAATAGAGCATAGGCCGCTGACCAGTATTCTCCAACCCACTCTGTCCTGGGCCTTCCCTTCCAGCTCTATCCAATTTTTGTTCATTTTCCTCATATCTGTCTACATTTCTCGACGTAGTGTGTTCTTTCATCTTCCTCTTTTCCTTTAGCCTTGAAGATTCCATGCGAGGGCTTGTCTTGTGACGCAGTTGGATGCTTTCCTTAATGTGTTTCCATCCACTTCCTCCGCTGGGATCTGGTTTGTTCTCTCCCACAGTAGGTTATTACTGATAGTGTCTGGCCAACAGATCCGAAGTATTTTGAATAGACATCTGTTAATAAACATTTGAATCTTCTGGATGATGGTTTTCGTAGTTCTCCAAGTTTACTCCCCGTACGGTAGAACTGTCTTGACATTTGTATTGAAAATCCTGACCTTTGTGTTGGTTGACAGTTGCTTTGAGTTCCAGATGTTCCTAAGTTGTAAATATGCTGCTCTTGCTTTGCCAATCCGTGCCTTTACATCTGCATCAGATCCACCGTGTTCATCAATGATGCTGCCCAACCTTGCCTGACACCGGTTTTTACCTTGAACGAATCTGTCAATTGTCATCCATGCACGATTTTTCAGTTTGATCCATCATAGGAATTCCGTATGATATCGACTATCTTCTCCGATATGCCGTAGTGTCGAAGAAGCTTCCATAGTGTTGTTCTGTCCACGCTTTTTCGTAGTCAATGAGGTTGATGTAGAGTGATGAATTCCACTCAATTGATTGTTCCACAATGATCCGTAGAGTTGCAATTTGGTCTGTACACGATCTATCTTTACGGAATCCTGCCTGTTGGTCACAAAGTTGGGCGTCTACGCAGTCCTTCATCCTGTTTAACAATACCCTGTTAAAGACTTTTCCCGGTATTGAGAGAAGAGTGATGCCCCTGTAGTTATCACACTTGCTGAGATCGCCTTTCTTCGGTATTTTGATCAGGAGTCCTTCTTTCCAGTCTGTCGGTACTTGTTCCTCATCCCAAATCTTGCTGAAGAGAATGTGGAGTATCCTTGCAGTTGCCGCTACGTCTGCTTTCAGTGCCTTTGCTGGAATGTTTTCCGGTCCTGCTGCTTTGCCACTCTTGATTTGTCTGATGGCCATGCTGATTTCTTCAATTGTTGGTGGGCCAACATTGATTGGGAGGTCCGTGGGTGCTGCTTCGTTGTTGGGTGGGTTCAGTGGGGCTGTTCGATTCAAGAGTTCTTTGAAGTGTTCTACCCACCTGTTTTGTTGCTCTCCAATGTTGGTGATTACCTTGCCTTCCTTGCTTTTCACTGGTCGTTCTGGTTTGCGGCGATTTCCAGAGAGTTTCTTTTTTGTGTCATACAATCGTCGAGAAGTGCCTAACAAAGGACTTGACCATCCTGATGGGAGACCTAAATGCCAAGGTCGGAATGGACAACACTGGATATGAAGACATCATGGGGCGACACGGACTGGGAGAAAGGAACGAAAATGGTGAGAGATTTGCAAACCTATGTGCCTTCAACAAACTGGTCATAGGCGGCACCATATTCCCACACAAACACACACAAAACCACGTGGACTTCACCGGATCACACTACACAGAACCAAATCGTCCATATCTGCATTAACAAAAAGTTCGGGAGGACGATGGAGGATGTGAGAACCAAGAGAGGAGCTAATATAGCATCAGATCATCACTTACTGGTCGCCAAAATGAAATTGAAACTTAAGAAGCACTGGAGAATGGGGCGGACAACCTTACAAACGTTTAATACGACCTTTCTTTGGGATACTGACAAACTCAGCAAATCCAAGATAGCCCTCAGCAATAGGTTCTAGGCCCTTCACGATCTACTCAGTGGAGAAGGAACTACTATGAAGAGCAACTGGAAAGAGATAAAGGAGGCAATCACTTCAACATGTTATGAGGTTCTGGGCCACAATAAGCCCCATTACAGGGAATGGATCACTGTTGATACACTGGATAAGATTCAAGAAAGGGTGAACAAGAAGGCAGCAATCAAGAACAGCCGAACAAGAGCAGAGAAAGCCAAGGTACCAGCTGAATACACGGAAGTAAACAAGCAAGTGAAGAGGAGCATCATAACCGACAAACGTAAATATGTGGAGGATTTAGCAATGACGGCGAAAAAGGCTGCACGAGAAGGAAACATGAGACAAGGCGAAATGTGGATTTTTAGGATCGACCTTTTCTAACCCTATCCTTCCTTTGTGGGAAGGCAGCATCGCTGTCATGTTGGTTGTCTTAAAAAACACTTTATTACCGCAACACGTCTGTACATTCAGGAGTACGACTTCGCCCTCGAACCTTGGATTTGCTGCTTTTAGTCTTACTACTCTTTAACCGACCTGCATGTCATGGTAGGACCTTGAAGAATGATTGTTCCAGCCAGTGTAGCCCGACTGGTTCATCACGATAGGCTAATTCGAAGCTGACTTGCCGAATTCGGAGTCTTTTATGTGTTGGGCATAAATATTACGCTTCTGGTTAACCGGTGCTGAAATAGGATTTGAATCCACAATGATGCGGTAAAATGTAGTATGCTTAAACAACTAAGTCACTTTTCTGCCGTCAAAGTGTAAACCACTGAGTGTATCCTTAACGAGAAATTTTTATTGAAACGAATAGTACTAGATTTTTATTCATGACGCAAACTCTGTTTAGATATTTAAGTAGGCGATATTAAGATCTCGTTTCAATAATGTATTTGATATAACTTTGAAAAAGATCATAGTTTAAATGTCGTCTGCTAAACTAATCAGTTATGGAAGTCATTATAGGACTGGGGATTTCTGCTGTTTTAGCCTATTGTTGCAATGTAAAATTCTAAACACTATCACGTTATCAAAAAGAAATGATCGTATTGTGCATTCCATGTGAATTCCTATTTAAATGATAAGAAGCTTTGTGTTTATATATTTCATTTTTTAAAATATATTATTTAGGGGCAATTTTTGTATGAACAGAGAAATCTTGAGGTTTAGCAGTTTATTTCAAAATCAAAACTGGTAATTTCTAAAGACTACATCTATATCTACAGTGTTACATACAAAGTCTCGGGAATACTTTCAGTCATCACATTTTTGTTTAAAATTGTACGGACAGTAATGATCTTAAGTTATACCTTGTATAAGATTCAAACAACCAGCTGCTCATAAATGAGCCTAAAATCAACACTATGAGTTTATACTGATGTGATTTTTAGTGTTACTGTAAAATCATTGAACGAAGATTCGGCTGCAAATGATAAATCAACTACTTAGAAGTCATTTTTTTCCGATATGTTACCATATTAAGATGGAAAATATTTTCCAAGGTATATTAGTCATACAATTTCTATTGCGATTAAGCAGTCCTGTTAGAATGTAGGTTTAGAATTAATTTCTGTCGACAACTGTTTGCTCATAATGACCATGAAGACAGCAAACATTTTTAACATGAAATGCAGTATTTACCGATGAGATACTGTAAAAGGTCTGAGATGAAGGATGTTGAACCTTAGATTATAGCTTAGAGGTTCGTTTCAGCATCTGAGGGTTGTGTGTATACATTGTTTGTGAATCTTAACCTAGAGTGCAACTGTATTCATGTGTTCTCTAGATTTCAGTTCTTCAGGTGACATCTGTTCGTGGTTAACTGGATTCGGAAGAAAATAATTATCTCTGGTTTGAACCAATAATTTCTAAACTACGCAATCAGTTGGTTCCGTTCTTATGAACTAAGAGATTGTATAGCTTAATACATCTTATTTTCATCATATTCGCCAGCTATTTTGTTAAGAGTAGACATTTATCTGCTAATATTTCAGCACATTACTTGCAACATTATAGCAAGTCATTCTAAAACACAGGATGACTGAATGTCGGCCAGTCGAGTTTGATTCGTGAAGAAGTACTACATATTAATATTCACGCGAAATCTAGTCACTGCATTTATTCGTAAAGTTGTACTGATGACGTCTTGCATCACATTGAAACGACCAATTTATGTAAAATAAGATCATACTACTAGTTTGTAGTCAGTATTATCTTAGTTTTATGAAAAGTCTAAAAAGCACCTATGTTTGTAAATAACAAGAATACAAGTATAAATGGTACTTATATGGTGAATGTTGACAACTACTTAGAATGTAAACGTATCACCAATTTCAAATCTAGAAGTATGAGTCATCATCACCTGAAAAACTACTTTCACTTCTAGTCATAAATGTTTCATAAAATAAGATTAGCATACTATGTTTTTTAAACGGAACACGGAAAATAAAAACAAAATGAAATCACCAAAGAGCATCAACCATCAAAATAAACATCATTATTCGGAATGTACAGCACGTATATTTAAAAGCATTATAATGTTTGTAAATTTGATTCAGTAAAGAAATAAGTAATTTAATTAGTCCTGTCACCTCTTTACCTATCCCACAAAACATAGTTATAATTAAAACAAAAATCAATGGCTTTGATAAAGTATGAGTTTATCGCATGAATGAATGTATACATTCACTCGTATTTAGATAATAATAATGTTCTGATCGATAACGAAAACAACAACAGACTTAATTCTCTATATTCGTGTTGTAATTTTAATGGAATCGACGTTATTTAATTTTTAAAAAAACTTTTATTTTATAAAAATAAATGATACGAAGAATTATGAACAAAATGATCTTTGATTCAAGATATCGATTGCTGAACTATCTCTTGGATTGGTTGAATCATATTGTTCGATTTGTTTAAATAATGACTTACCGCCATTTGGATTAGTATTACTATTGTTATTACCATTTGCATCGAAACGATGTGTAGATTTCGACAAAAGCAATTTTAAACTATTCAGAGATCTTCCAAAGACTGGTGGTTTATTCGTATTTAAATTATTATTGCTGTTTAAATTACAATTCCCTGGTGAACTTAAAGTGGTGTCGATAAAACGGATTTCTGGTTTGTGTGCAGTATAACTATTAGATGTAAAAGGATCTATAATGGCGGTTTGATCGGTTGTACTACAGTTAAAATTAATGTTATCCCCATCATGGTTTAAAGTTGGTTGTGGAGGAGGTGGTGAATAACGATTATACTTTGGTCTAATAGGCCATGAAGTGTACAAACGAGGTGGATAATTAATTTGCTTGGAATATTCATTATCATAGCCATTTATAACTTTTCCAATTGTTGTTACCCCATTTTCATTGCTCCAACTGAATGGATATTTTGGTGATGTTTTAAAGTTTACATTCGTTTCTCCTGGAGTAGCTCCACTTGAACTTATATAACCTGGTACACGTTTGCATTGCACTAATGAAGTTGAGGATTCTGAGTAAGGATATTCGATGTAGGTATTTCTATCAAGATTGAAAGAAACTTGATACGGTTTTCTTTTAAGTGGTGATGGGGCAGATGAACAAAGACGAAGATTCGAATTTGACCCAATCATATTAATGTTCTCATTGTAGCTTCTACAGGGTAACATGACAGAATCTAAGAAAAAAATAATATAGCGAGATTAGCGTACCATACTTTTATACCGTTTATTTCGTGATGTTAAAAATTTCAAGCGCCAAAACGTTGCGCAAAGGGATTTAGACTTTTTGTAGTTTTGCTGTTTGAATACCTTCTATATTTATGTTTTTAAATGAAATTTCATCGAACAATAACTTGGAAAAACTCACTGATGGATATTATGATGAATATTTACCTCATGTCCTTGATTAATGACGAAAACAACCCCCCCCAAACCACATTTACTAACAATCTACATGAAAGACAATCAGATATTTATTTGTAAATGTGAATAAATAAATGTTGATTTCATTGAACAATGAACTTATTGTTGGCAAAATAAATTCTTGACTGGGAGCAGTTTTTTAGAATCAGCTAAACTCTAAACGTGTTTACAGAGATTTTGTTACAGTCGGATTGTGACTAGCAGTGGAATGTAGAATGCACATTTTGTCTTATCTGGGATTCGTCTTCTTGCTGTACCGGCGTTATTGTTTTCATGTTAAGATTGATAACTGAATCTATTAATTATCTCTTCAAATGTTAACACTTTATTTACAAAACCGCCGAATCCGGATAATGAATAGTCATTAGTTTTGTACTTACAATACCTTACTTATGGATATCAGATAGTACTGAGGACTACAAAATGACAGTATTTAAAAGTTACAGAATAGATCCTAATAACATTAAACATGACAAGATAGATTTGAAGTTTTTATTGGTATACCTGAGGTTATTAATGCATAATTGTTGATTTCATTTAAAGTGGTGCAAATTTTATTGTTAAATGTAGTAGCTATTATGTGATTAATGTTCAGCATCCCCAATTTTTTTATATCTGACTACGTTGTCTTATATAACTGTAGGAATAAAAATTTATATATATGCCATTATTTTCGATTCCCGCTTATCCTAATTATTTGAGGGTATTATTAATTCTGAAAGGAGATTAGTTGAGAAACCATTAAAAAACTTTATTTTGCCATAGTTTAAGACCCTATAATAGTACATGTTCAGAATCCTGCAAGGAATCGAAATCAAGATTCACAGTTCTTACAGTATGTGCATTACTTTTAAGTTAAAAAATTTGAATCTAGTGGATTAAATTCTTAATTTTAGTCAATTTAAGATCTACTACTCTCTTTCTCCATTGATATGAACGAGTTATTGTCTTCTAACTTCATCAGTTTCACAAAGAATAGTTTTCTATTAGAATATCGGGAATTCTGTCTTTAAGATAGTCACTTATGTGTACATAATATCAGTTCGTCAGTTATGCCATTTAATAAACCTCGAAATATTTATAGATGTAGTTAATAATTTACATAGTGAAAAACTTAGGTATGGGAAATAAGATAAACTAATCATGAATTCTGTGTTATTTTTTTGAAATGTTAGTTTTCCTTTGCCGATATTTTTAGCTTCTTGATATTCACCAGATTTGCCTAAAATACTAATATGGGTAACAATATCAACTGTGAATCCCAAAGGTTTTATAAAGTAAACATTAAGTTAAAAATGTACAAATAGACGGAAAGCAAACGGGTTTATAATCTTAAAGTGTTTTGAAATTAACCACTTATGTGATTTATTTATTTATCTAATGTTGTGTGTTTAGTGTGGATTCAATATCTAAAGGGATTAAAGATAATTTCTTATGGCAGTTTTGGACATGAGTTTCTAGTGGTTGAATAGACATTGAAAATTATACAGTATTAATTAACCGTAACACGAATCACCTTAGAACGAAGATGAAACTGTAAAACTGACAGGTGACAGAGTTCAGCTTAAGGTCAATAAGCTTGTTACCAATAGTCAGATAATAAACCTTCGAACATGAACAGTAGACTTTAAAACTGAATTGAGGAATTCTGACAAATTGGTGTAAATCATAAGGTTTGATGGGATTTTCAATAAGCAAAACTGCTTTGCTTACAACGTAGATAGTGTGAAAAATAAGGGAATTTTCATCGTACCCTTGCAGGATTTTTACTTGGCTGGTGTTGTGTTGTCTAAGTTGGATGATTTAATTGTAAAACTTTCATTATCTTTCTGGGTAACATCATCGGCATGTACTTGAAAGAAAAGTGCAGTATCAGAATCTCTTAACCATTGAATAACAGCCTGTCCTTTGGACATGACATTCGATTGGTTGCTGTTCACAATTGTATGGTCGTTGTTTGGGTGTTTATTTTGATTATTTTCTCTCTTAACATGGCCTCCAAAATTGAAATTGTTGATCTTTATTCTATTGAATCGATCTAGATATATCTAATTAGTTAACAGATTGAGTAGAGTGCCGGGCTTTCAAAAATCCCTCGGTTTTCCTTGTCTTTTCTCTCTCCAGTTCTTTGACGTTTTCCCGATTGAACTCATATCCGAAGCTGTCTATATGCACTTATGTTAGTAAAGTTATATTGTGGCATTTAATAGGCAACTGGCATTTATGTAGACGTAAATGTGGAAATAGCCATTTTGTTCTATGTAGTCTTTTGAGTCGGTGCTGAAATTTATCCTGTATATGATATTTGACTTTTTTCGTTTGTCCTTGCGTTCTCTGGTTAACATAATACTTATTGCAACAATTCTTGACGTATTTTTCATAGTTTAGGAAGCATCATCGGTTCACTTTGTATTCACACTTAGGAAAGATTATTTTAATTATAGTTATACTCTTCATAAATAAGTAATATATTATTGAAATGAATGCATACTTATCTCCTAGATACTTTGTGAAAGCTAAATAAATTATCAGAGGTGATCACTGTATACGAACTTCATAACAGTGAATGCGCTTAAAATATCCTTTTTTTGAAAAAAGTCAACAATAATACATCAAAGAAAGAGTAATAGGAGATATTAAAATAATGTTTAACTGGTTGATTAAACTAATCGTTGTTAAAAACTCAGTTTAGAATATAAGTTACTGAGGTTTAGCAGCATGTAATCAGCCCGAGAAACAATGGTTGTCACAATTCAACCAGCTCAGGAGTGAGGTAGTTAGTTATAACTGAAGTCTTGCTGTATCACAAAATGGGTGGAATTGAAAATCCATATCTAAGGTGACGTTGTGGTTTCAGTGAGTGTTAAAAGTTGTAAGCGTATACCACTGAGAAGTTCCAAATTTATGGGAAACAATTCTTCGCCGATAATTGGCTGTAGTCATTCTTCGGGTAGTATCATTTCGAGATGGGAAATAATTTTCAGATCCTATTTCGTTTAATTAACACGTCCTATACGTTCTTTGGCCTTCAAACTGTGCACAACTAACTTATTATATACTCAGTACTTGTAATAAGTGTCCTATTCATCATTACCTTCACATTCATTTTATTATCAATAGTATTTTAGTCACTTGATACAAAATATTAATGAATGGTATTGCTCAATATTTATGACACTACTTAGTAGATAGAAACTAAACTGCGAAACAGCATGATAAATAGAATTAAGCGATTTGCTATATTATAAGTTAAAATGGGTTTCTCTAATTGGTATAGCTTAAACACACTAATGCACATAGTATTCCATAAAACATCTATGGTCTCAATCAATAAAATATGAAGCAACACAATATTATTAAGATGGGAAAACGAAAGAATCCTCGTTTTATGAAGCAAATGGAATTAGACAAGAATTTTAAGCACCTATGTATTGGATAATCAATACAACACTGGACGTAAACGTGAATTTTATTGTTTTTTGAGATAACTAAACTTTGACACGTATATTATAATAATTATTATTACTAGCAATTAAACAGAACAGAAAACGCCTAAGCCACAGCAGGGCTCTGATCAACAATATATATATATATAATCATATTTGTATAAATCCACAGGAGTCTTAACTGATTGATCCATACACTTCAACATAAAATTCGTTGAATCATGATTTTCAGTTACTGTGGTTAAAAAATGTATTAGATTCTATGATTAAAAAGGTTCGCTGATTTGTAAACAATATTAATTTGATATAGAATCAACTGACACCTTTATACCTTTTTCCATAACGCTTATTAACGTTTTTCTATGGTCTGGTAACCTTAGATAAGTGTTTTTAATGAAGTATAGGCCTAACATTATATGTTCTTTAGAATTTATGAAGTGTGAGATAAAAGATAAAGTTTGTGTATTTTCAGTCAAATAATTAAGAAGATTCTTTTTGCAGTTCACACTTAAATACTTGACGCTCTTTTAACATGAATACATTTCGGCCGGAATGTTTTCAAAAAATGTGTTCAGAGAACCATAATTTGTAACAGCTTCAATAAACAATGTGCCCACCAGTGGGTAGTTGTGAGATTGATTTCATGATGTTCAATTGGAAAGTGTAGGCAAGTGAGATAGGTCAAGTTGCAAGCAAGCCAGTTATTTGTTGTTAATACAAAATACAGACTACGGTAAATCTCAAATTTACTGAAATTGCAAATGAGGACTGACAGTCGCTCTCTAACTTGTCTTCACTATCCAACCAGTAAATAGCTATTTTTATTTATGGTAATGAATATTTTTTGTCGTTATTGTAAGGATAAAATACATACAACTGCAAGCAGTTCATATCATCAGGTAATCAATCAGTTTTCCTCATTTCAATTAAAACTAGTTAAGATGAAGACTAACTGACTGAAGTGTTGGTGGTTGGCGGATAAAGTATAGAAATTTGACGACGCCCTTCCAAACCAGAGAAACTGACATATGCTCATAATATATGACTTAAGTTATAACTTAGATGGACCAAACAGTCTGACATTTATCGATAAAAAAATTTTAAACAGCGAATCATTAAATAAGGCTTGCTTCATGAATATAATTTCCGTAATTTTTGAATCACACAGTTAGAAAACCCTCATCAGATAAAACAGAAAATAAGAAAGCATGCAAATTCAATGAAGCGGATGGTTATTAAGATTATTGCCAAAGCCATTTCATTACAGGAGATATAGGTTATGCATAGTTCATTTTGAAAGGATTATGAATTAAGACAATATGCCAATCGAGTCGCTTGTGTAATCGTCATTATTACAAAGATAATTTTAATCAGAGACTAAAATCATCCAGAAAACTTTTGAAAACTGAACGAGGCTGAATAGTGCTTTTCACCCTATTATGGGACACCATAGTAAACTATATTTACTGTTGAATGTTGGATCATTCTTTGAAACTATAGTTTTTAGGTAACCACACTACCATGAAACATATATTCCGTTTTATTGTCTATCGATATTTATTTGACCCCAACAATCTAATGGTGATATTTGCATAGACTGATTAAAATTCTGCAACAGTACACCACTGGTTTATTATTTTTATTGGACTTAATATTAGAGTCGGTTTAAATGTTATCTTTTTCTACTATATCGTCTTTACGGAGCTAGTAAATGAAACAATGCCAAAACCTATTTTGCGTTATGAACCATAACACACTTTTTAACAGTAATAAAGTGTAGTTAAAATTATTAATATGATTGTTTATTTCATTTACAATAATTATTTTTGACAATAAACTTTGTCTGTTATACGTGAGATCAACTGACTGGCTTAAATTAGGCAAAACAGAATAAGTTTTGTTAAGAAAATTTATTCCTTATTGTGACTGAACAACTTAAAGCAATACCATGTACAATATGTACGCTATGTTTACTAAATTAAAATGATAACTGATAATCTACTGAGATATGGAGATGGGATTTATTGGCGTCTGGTACCAAATTTTAAATACAAATATAGCTCTTTATTGAATCTCATTTAATTTTTGCGAAAAAAGTTAACCACAGTAAAAAAAAAAGCCAATTCTTCTTTATGGAGTCTCAGTCACTTACAAAAATGTTAATATCTTTTATAGCAAACGGTATAACTGTTACGCGAAGAAGATAGTCTTTCATGATTTTCAGACTTCAGTAACAGAGATATTTCGCGTATTTTTTATGGATTATGTCACGAAGAACAGTAACCATGCATTTGTCAAGTCTATTTGAATATAAAGGAATGTACAAACAGCACATCTAGAACATACCATGTTCTATCTTAGCCACTAGTGTGGTTGTTGAATTGGATTGAGATATTTTCTGGTGTATGGATATAAATTTACCAGATTGCTAGTGAAACAGTATGAAAATCCCTATACCGGTGAACAAGATTCAATCATTCATTTAAGGAATACATTACTGATATTCACTTATGGTGTATTTGTTGCGAATGATCGGTTGTTCAAGTGAATATTTTAACTTGAGTTTCAAATCGATGATTAATTTTGTTGATCCATTCTAATAAATATTTCATAGTCCGAAGGTATTTTACAATTTGTTTAGATTAAATGTATTCCAACAGTTTCGCTAGTTGGAAACTTACAATGAATCTCACAGAATTCTTAGTACCATACATTCATAATTATGACGTTGTAGTATGAAGCTGTACCATGTTACATAATAAACATGAATCCTTTAATATAGTCTAATTCTATTCGACCTAATAGTTTATTTCTAGTCAGCTTACTAATTCATAGGACAATTTGATGGTCAGACTGATTTAAAGTGTTTAGCTAGACATGGATAACCATCGTGAATGGCTACCACTGGTGGACCTCAGAGTAAAAGAACATTCCTTCATTTTCTCTTAATTTTCAATGAAATTCTATTTTATAACTCCTTGGTGCATTTTATGTTCATATTTAAATAAATATTAATTACATTAGATGTATTATGGAGATCTTTGAATTTTTAATAGTTAACATCACGGGCTCTAGTCTAGGTATAACTGTTTAAGCTTATATTTCGATGAATAATTTGCATTGAATGCAAAAACTAAAAGAGCTGTGAACAACGCAGTAATAACAAAACTTGAAGAGTAAAATGAATTCACTCAATTTCAAGGTTTCTTATCAGCTGCAAACAGCCTGAAGTTACAATGGTTAATATTATTATGAAACACAGTTTTACATACCTTAGTTGATGAATTTGAGATTGATGTTCGAAACGGGACAGAAAATCATAAGAACTGAGAGAAGATAAAAAATATGATATTAAGATTGATGAGTATTTATATGTTGAAAAATAAGTCATATTATGAAGGGAGTGATGTCATAAACATTAACTGAAAGGCGAAATGAAAAAAGGGTGATTATTCAATCAAATTACTTAGTTGATGCGAGCTCAATACCATGATTGAATGTCAGTGGATCTCTCAAAATCATCAAATAAAACGTCTACATAATAGGTAAGTTAAGTCACTATAATTGTTTAACCATGGAAATAAGGGGGTTACAGGATTTTCTTTTTGTATATAAACGTCAAGTGTTTAATTAAATTAACCCCTGTCCAGTGGAGTAAAGCGGAATACCTTGATAGTTAATATTTTTGAACAGCTTTGCGCTATTTATCTTAAGCCCACTGTTCATTATGATCAATAATTTTACATTTGAACAGTGTACTTCCCTTCGAGCCTGTTCAAAAAGCCTCGTAGATCCCATCGTTTTAGTTCCAGCTGTATAACTGCTACCACAAATACATGTAAATTTATAGATACAATTGAAGATGACTTCAGAAGAGTAGAGATCTATACTGATTGATCCAAAGAATATTTGGTAACATTTACCTAAACTGGTTGGGGTATGTAGGAATTTTTTAAAGTACCGCTTTAATCCTTCTGTCGGCTGTATCTGCAATTCTATCCCTTCCGAATTCAAGGTGAGTGAGTACAGGACGTTTTCATTTCTTGTAAATCTGTAACATTTGAAAATTTCTTTTTCACACTTCATAATGAATTTTCTTCGAAATTCATTGTTTACAAGACACATTCAATATGTGCCAACGCTTCCAAAATTGTTTTTATTCTGATAAATATTCATCTAAATGGAATAAATGTTAGCCTTTTGCATGAATCTTTTGAATATCACACTCATTTACGCTTAAGTTCAAACTCACAGTAATACAGTGGAATTCACAAAAAGTACTTTTGCTTCTTTTTCTAGTGCATGCATAACAATTATGTAATTTAAACAATATTAAATTAAAAATAAAGAGTAAAATGATATTTCATTGCACATTTAATAAATAATTCTGGTTATGAAGTAAAATTTGGTAAATAACCACCGAAAATCAGGCTGAATTTGTAAGATCTTCCGTTCTAGTTTGAGATTATGTAGTAATGTGGAGACACCAAATCACAGAAAATTGACACACGAATTTGGAATTATCGAGAATAACATGGTGCATTTGTTCCCCTGTATCGAATTGAAATAAATAAATAATTCGACTTCAGTCACTTCTGATATACTCTAATCCTTGTACAATATTATTTAAAAAGTAACTGCTTCAGAGTTGACTTGGTTGACTCCAAGGCTTCCCAGAAGCACTTCAAGAAATCCATCTAATAGTTAGTCATCAGTGAGTACACGGTTATTAATTACTAAGGTTGTTTTGTGAAAATGTTTTCTTTTGTATTGATTCATGTGTATATATTGGTCTAGCTTATTCATTCATGATAGCTTTTTTCAAAGACTAAAAGTTAATTATTATTGAGTAATATAGTGTTTATCAGGCGTCAGGGAGGAGACCAGAGACAGTTATCACTGTTCTTGATCCATTTTTTTTCGCTATGTGAAAAACACTGAGTGAACTACAAAAGACCATCTTAGCACTGAACAATAATATAAAATGATCTTTAAATATATGGAACTAAACATAAGTAAACGTTTATCGGTATATGTAGGTATGTGTGGTCTGAATTTATTAAAATCTCAAAATTTTTATGTCTACCGCACACAACTTCGATGAAATCAAATAAATATGATTTTGTTTATTTGACTGAATCAGATTTTTCAGATTAATCTAATCTATTTTTATTCATTAAGTGAAAATTAACACCCAATGTGTGTGATACGCATTACAGGGATCGATTACTTAATCAAATTAACAAATAGTACTAATAATAGTAATAAAAATAATACTGTGAGCGATAACGTGATTGATATGACATTGATCTGTGTTCTTTGAGCAATAAAAATGGTCTTTACAAAAGGATACAGAGTGTGTGTAAATCTATCTCAAACTAGTGAGTGGTGTCGTAATCTTATATCAAAACAATCTATCATTTAAAACGTTACTACTGAATACACTACTTATTTAGTGTAGACTTAAAGAGTATTGTGAAATATACTGTAATTAGCTTTATATAACTTAATGTTTGTTTTACGAGAAGTTAAGATGCTGAGTTGAATAATAAAATAAGAGGAAGTAAACAAACACAACACGAAAGAATTAACTACAGGAAAGAATGAAAAAGAAAAGAAATTGCAGAAAATTCTTGTAGAATTCATAAAAATGCCAAAATTTTGTTTTATACATAATCTGGATTTAATGTGCGATATAGTCATTTTTATGTTCGAACTGGTCATCTATCTCAAACAATGAAGCTAGATGGAAATAGTAGAAGGTGATAAAATGTTAAGGAATTAGTGGTATTAAATAGGAATGGTAAAGGAAGACTACTTACTGTAAACCTAAGTAGGATGGTTAAGCTAAAATCTACGAAAACTAGCTAAAGCTAATGTTATATATTTGGAGACGGCAGTAGCCTCGTTTTGTCTTAGTTATTTAACAATAATGATAAATTATACAAACACGTACTTGTATTCGTCCAGGCTCATTCAGGTAGTTTAGTACAACAGTACAGTGTCTTCCAGTATTCTAGGAAATAATTACGACCTTCAGTATCATCATTTGGTTTTGTGGTTCATTATGTCTTTGTGCACAAAATCAGTGGACGGTCGATATTTCAGATTCATGTCTACATTATTGTATTTATATAATTAACACATATAAATCAGACAATTTTCTAACAACTGCGTTTCAGAGAATAAATCGGGTGACTAGCCAGAGGTATTAGGTATTTCGGTAATAAATAAATTTCGCAATCGACATAAAGAGTTATTGATTTTAGTTCAAGATGAGATTCCATCAGCAGTTAAGTGTAAATTTACATGCGTGATAATGCAGTAAGCTAGACTCTTAGAAGTGGTAATATCAGCAGATACCTTTAATCCTCAGGCTAATAGTTTAAGCAGAAGAGAAAGACACTTTGGTGAGACTTACAGTGTTCAGTCTTAACAAACAGATAACGGATACCGGTTGTTGCAAATATACCCATATAACCTATGTTTCTAGCAGCCACCAACTTGAAACGTTAAGAGAGATATCGTGTGACGTGTACAACCGCCAAAATCGATCAGGAAATGGACACATAAACGTGATACCTACCAGATGAGGGAAAACCAAGATGTAGCATTGGTTCATGAAGTCATAGACTCTTCTACTGAGCTGCATAGGTAGGTTCAAACCCCCTGGTTGGGGTTCGCATGCTTATAGTAACCAGTGGTTGAAGATTTTAGGCGTCATGACTTATAATTTTTAGAAAGAGTTCAGATGGATTTATTCTTTATTTTCCGTCGGGTCCTGAGCTTGAAAAGTTTCTCATACTTTTCTTATGATCTCATGAAGTTAGTTTTTCTTCTTAAATCATATAATCTGTGTCTATTCCTTTTTACTACCATTGATACTGTTAGCACTTCGACTACCCTGGATTGACCATGAATCGATTCAAATATGTACTATGTTCTGTATTGAGTATAACTGAATGACTTTTATGGAAGGTAAATCTGATGAAAAACTTAGGAATATAACAGAATACCTATCAAAGGGATTAATAAACCACATACACAAGCGTTAATATTCAATATGTACCCTTAAAATTAACAGCTTTTTATTTAAAGCAATGAATTGCAAGTTAACAATCAACCATAAGGAATTTCAATATATATTCACATGAGAGATTTTGTGCTCACTAATCAGTGATTACTTTTTAGTTACATAAACTGATAAATCATTATTGATTTGCTATCTCAGTAATCATTATTTGTATATCGATTTGACTGTGATTATACACAATTTTCTAAGATTATACTGTTTATGTATTTAATTAGTAAATTTAAACCAAGTCATACCAGAGTGTTATGTAAATAATGGTCATTAAGAACAAATAAGATTATTTATACTATACAAATTAGCAAACGTTTGTAACTGGATGCCCTTTCGAACGGAAATATAATAGAGTTTAGTTTTGTATCGTAAGGAATGACTTTCTCATGAAACCATAATATCTGTTTACCAAAATCAACCCACCTCTTTTAAGAGAGTTCTTGTTTCTGGTTAATATTAGTCAGATGAGTATAGAAGAATTCAAGAATTATTGAGTAAATGTTTACTTATTAAATTTTAAGCCGCCTGTTATTATCCAGCCATGTTAATGGATTTCCAAGAATTAAATTGCATACAATGGATCGAAATACAGCATATTCATTATTGAGATGAAAGTCCTGATTTTAACCGAAAGGAATAGAAAGAGCTAACCGAATCTCAACAATTTTGTGTAGTTTAAGCTGTCCTAAATTTCAATGCAAATTAATTCTCTTGGTATAACACTGAGGTGAATGATTAGTTTATGAGGTTTTCATTATTTTTCTGTAAAAAATAATCATCTGTTCAGAAAATGGGTCAATACTAGAAACTCCCTCGTTACCAGCTACAAAAGTTTTTCGTTAGCTCAAAAGATCAGAATTTATCTCAAATTTACTTAGAATATATGATTTATTAAATTGAAATCTATAGTAATATATCGCATTATCTTAGACTGATTTTGTACCAATAACTAGAAATCGAAAATACAAAGTCACAATCATCATTTAATCTAAAATATTGAGAGGTAATAAAAGTGAGAATCGTTTAAACTAAAAAAATGCGAACAATAAACGCTTGGTTTACCTCAAAGAATGGTTGAACAATGAATTATAATATTTGAGTGAAGTGATATTTTCACAAACTCTTTTGATATACTACTCTATTTTAGAATAATCCATTTTTCAACATGGTGATTAGGTTTTAATTAACTATCTCGCATATATCCGATAAACTTCATTCTTAACAAGAAGTGAATTCATATAACAGTAATTATAATGGCATTATAAAGAAACACTTCGTCGTATTGATCATATGTGAATAAGATAAGAATAGTTACCCATTTAAACTCAGTCATTATTCGATTATTCACAGTAAATTGTGAAATGTATGTGCTATTGAAAGCTTATATTCAAAAATTGTATTCTAGTCAGCGAAAAAAGTGTTTCCATTGTGTTCACAAATTAAAACTCAGATGGTGAAATAAACATGGTGTAATTTATATAGGTTATAGGAGAAAATTTTTCGAAGATAAGCCCAGATATTGATTAAGTCGATAGCATGTTGTTTATGTAGACAATAGTTAGTGTGATTACGACTTTAATGACCGAATTAAATTTCTAAGTTCTGTCTTCCACTCAAATGATGTACTAAGGAAGATAAGCTTGCACACAAATGAGAAATAGATTTTATTTAAGCAAGGCTGTCAACTATTGGACGGAAACAGCTTCATTCTAATAAAACAGATTATACTGAATCGTGTTACTTGAATTCAAGGACCTTGGTAACCAAACTTAGCTGATTGGTCCCCCAGTTTTACTCTCTAAACGTCTGTTTTACCACACACGTGCAACGTTATCTAAGAAAACAATTAAGTAGATTTGAATTATTTAAATAAATTCTCCTAAATTAAGCAATAAATAAAGATTATCAAGATCGCTAATCACTTCAGGATAAGAAAAATCCTTATTCTAAGTATTCGTATCTTGCCATTAGCTTTCATACACTCCATATCACAGTAGTATCTAACTGTTATTGTCTAATAACCTGGCATAAAATGTTCTTGTATAGATCATTCCTGATACCTGTTCAAAATAGTTAAACATACCAAATAATTAGTTTAAAAAAATATGCTAATTACTTTCTACTGTAGTGTAAATATTTTATCGAAATAAAGGAAGAAATTTGGAGTTCAGGTAAAGTCATTTGCTAGTAGACCGTCCTCTAACCTGGATGATATAATTAAAAAACCTTCGATGTTGATATGAACAAAATCATTAGCGCCTAAGTTAAGAAGTGAGCTTCACATTATTACAATCATAAGGAGTCGGAAAAATGATAACTAGAATGGACTAACCCAATGTTTGCGTAATAATTTGAAACTCACTTCTTAACTTAGGCGCTAATGATTCTGTTCATATCAACATCGAAGGTTTTTTAATTAAGTCATCCAGATCACCGAAGACTTCACAATAGTTATTTTTCATTAGTC